CTGCGTTCAATTCTACTTCACGTTGTAGTTGTACAGAACCTTTATTTAACTTAGCAGTAGTAGGCATATCCCTCATCTCATAATGATCAACCAAAGACAACTGTGAAGTATCATGATCATTATCACGAATATTCACTTTACCGTCAACTTCATCATTTTCAAACTCTTTAATAACAGAAGTAGACAATTTTGGTTCCTCCTCGCAAATCATGAAAGGTTTTATAACTTCACTCTGACTAGTAATACCTTGTAAACTTGTAGGGTCAGAACTGCACTCTGAAGCAGCAACTCTATTCTGTGACACTTTATTCAACAACGGCTTACCAGTTGCAACTACAGACTTCTTCACAACACCGTTATCGTCACACAATTCGGAGTCAGGTCTGGAGTTTACATTTAGCTTATCACTGAACTTGCTCACCGGTTCACAGTTCACTTCTGTATGCACCTCTTGCACACGTGTAAAACACAACCGTGTTTGTCTTGCATCTTGTAACCTATCAGTTGAGGATGTACTACGAAACCTGTTACACTCACTAGGTCTATATGCATTACTAGACATCATGGAGCTTTCTCGATAACCACCTCTCTGAGGCCTACTCGTCATCAATGATTGCATTTTGATCCCAGACTGCTCTATTCTAGGGGTGAGATGTAATAGACTGGCGAACTTGCTCATAGATTGATTGACACTAGTATTTACCAGTTTCAGGATATCATCAAACTTTGGCTCGATACCCTCATCCTCCATACGGGAGCTTATCTTCACCCACTTCCTTTGCAGTCGAGTAGGTAGACGTCTTGCTATTACTTCTAGTATAAAACTCGAGTTGAGGTCACTCATTCGATTCATCGAAATCATTCCATTCTTGTAAATTAGCAAATTATCTAAAAACTCAGTGAGTGCCTGGGAGTCATCCTGTAATTGACCACCATTACCCTTAACAGCCTCGAATAATTTCCCTGCAATCATCGAAGGTCTTCCAAACCTTTGACGTAATATGCTCATAGCCTCGTAGTAGCCCTCTTTTGGCTTCATAAACTTACAACACTGTATAGCTCTTGCAGCATCTCCAGTGCAATATCTCATCAAATACATTAACTTCAATTCATCATTTAATAAAAAACCACTCAACATGATCTCAAACTCCTTTACAAATTGTAAATAATCAGCCGGGTTTCCATCAAAACATCGTGGTTCAAATTTAGGGAGTTTGATGTTCCTATTATCCCTGAACGGCGAAACAGTAACATCAACCATGTCATGCTTAACATCAGACACATCGTTACAATTAACAGACAAGTCACCATGACTTACTTTCCTGTTTGCATCCAAGACACTCTGTCCCTTCTTTGACCCAGGCATTGTTGAACTTGACCCAATTCCAAAAATGTTCCAGATATTGCTTGTTCAAAGAGGACTTGACCGGCACCAGGAAAAATGAACGGCGACTATCCAAACTTTCACCAACTGTTTGAATCCGCCAGATCTGTTTCCATCGTCAGAAACTGTCAATCACGTCTCATAAACCGTTAATGCCCAGCTCTCGCTACGCTCGGGCCCACGCTGTTCTTCGAAGATTTCAGAAACGCTTAGTTATAACGGACGCAAAAACCAAAACACCGATCTGCCGCTTGATATTTGTTTATTGTTACACCAACATATAAAAGGAATAAGCGAACTAAGGTCTGAAAACAAATATTACAATAATAAATCATTTTATTACTTCTGACGATATTTTACTCTTCTTTCTGAACAGCGACCGATGAGACGATGACTGTCGTATTGATGCCTCCGCGAAAATCGGGGAAGTTGATTTTGAGCAAACAACCAAGAATTGATCGTTCAATCTTCAACTCCATTGACAGCCGTCTTTGGACAACTCTTTTGACTATTGGAGTCTATTGAACTGTTGGAATCTAGCCCTAGTCCTACATTCAACGAAGCCCAAGTGCTGTGGCTCACAGCACTCCACTCCAACCCTGGACCTGGTGTTCTTCCATAGTGAGGATGTTGACCTCATATAACATCTTCCTCCCTTAAGAAGAAGTAATCACGTTGGGCTCACTTTCAGGTTCACAGCAGCAGTATCGTGGGCAAAAACCACAGCTCGACGAAAAGTTTGGAAAGCTGTTGAAAGCGCAGCAGCCAGACCACTGAACTAGCACCTTAATATGGAGTCTCAGTCAGGAGCTGCATGGAACCAGTTTAGGCAACTTCATTTTCAGATAGCCTAACCTCTCATCTCTCGCTCTCTCCCCTAGGGTCGGAAACACTGCCTCCTATGGATAAAGCGGGAGACCCATAATTTGCTCAGATGTAAACTTAAAGGCTCCTGAGACCACAAAATTATACAACCAAGCCAGGAAAAAGCTATTGCAGAAATCCGCCAATCAAGAATGAAGTTCGAAGCACATTTGGCTCAAAATGCAACGGCGCAAACTAACAAGTCGTTGTCGTACATGAACCCCAGGAATAAGACATTCGCTGGAGTCCCACACCTGCGCATTGACAATGACACAATCGAAGAAGATCAAAAACAGGCAGAAGCAATGACAGACTATTTTTCCAGATTCCCTACGCAGGAGTCGTTAGTCAATATAGTGTTAGCTACGGCTGCGTCAGACGGATAAAGGATAGACTCCGTTGATGTTGACTCTCTATAGAAACTAGATGTTGGGAAGTCAGTGGGTCCTGGTAATCTTTGTTCAAGGCTTCCCAAGGAGCTATCAGCTCCCATGGCCGGTTGAATGACCACGACATTTAATCTATCTCTCCTAAATGGATTTTTACCGCGTGATTGGAAAGAAGCCATAGTAAAACCCACCCACAAAGGAGGATCAGGACAAAGGCCTTCAAACTAAAGACCTATTAGTTTTATCGGCACTTTAATCAAGACACTGGAAAATAACATAAAGAAAAGAATCGTGGCATATCTGAAAGACGAGAATTTGTTATCCAGAGCCCAGCATGGCTTCCGACGAAACCTCTCATGACTGTCAAATCTCCTCGCTGCAAGAGAAAGATGGGTCAAATCAAGGGACAGCGGAAGATCCGTTGACGTCGTCTTCATATTACTTCAGCAAAGCCTTTGATAAAGTTCCTCACAGAAGACTACTCACGAAGTTGGAAAGTCTTGGTGTTAAGGGCAGGTTACTAAACTGGATAAGGGAATTTCCAATAGATAGGAGGCGGAGGGTTAGGACCAACTCGGAACTCTCCTCTTGGACAGCAGTGAGTAGCGGAGTGCCATGAGGTACGGTACTCGGACCCCTTATTTATTTTCTATATCCATGAGTCATCTTTGCTCACTGATTCCCCTATGCTTCTATACTCAAACGACATATAAATGGCTGAATGGCGACAGGGAGATTCAAACAGGTCGTCAGTGTTCCGACGCCAGTATGCACAGTGAACACTCGAGCGCCGGCTCCTGCGAACTACAAGGAATAAAACCTCCAACATACCAGGCCCGCATGGATCTGGGTGTCATAGTAGGTCACGACTTAGAAACTACAGCACACTCCCACGCAGTGACAGTCCGTAGTTTCAGACCCTCATGGGTAGTTCACACGATCCTTAATCGAGTCACTAAAACCAAGTTCAGCCCTCAATATACATCTTAATACATCTCTGGTTAGGTCAAGACCGGAAAATCGTATCCAGGCAACCAGCCACATATCCTAGAATGGGTTCAAAGGAAGGTGACACGTATTATTCTTGGCATGTCTGATTCATCATACCAAAAGAGACCAAAAATTTAAATCTCTTCTCCTCGTCATACCCTAGGCAGAGATCATGTAGCAGTAAATAATTCCCCAAAATTATTGACCACAGCAATCACTCACCATTGGATGCTGACCACCACTGTTTAAGTCGACTTGTTTAGCTGAAGGCTTCCGGTCAAGCATCCCCGCCATTTGGTACCCCGCCGTGTCACGTGCACGATCACTAGCTAGCTAAGCGTTCGTCTGAAGGCTTGTTTTGGTCCCGAAATATATCACGAAGTTTGGACGATCAAATATTGGCTTTTGCTTTGTTGTTGGTACGCGAGAATAATTTAGAGGCTGTGTAAGACAATTCCGTCAACCCTCTAAAATCACATAACGTTTACAATTTCAAACAATGATTACGGACCTGATCTATTCTCTCATTTCCTTCCCACTGAGTCGGAACGTCTTTGAAGACAAAGCGGGAGATTTCAGAAGCCAAGGAGAAATGATACTACAGTGGAGTATTGGTTCTCACACCGAGTCATCAACTCTGGGAAGTGGCTCCCAGAAGTAGTGATGTCAGTGTCCTCAATTGACTCATTCAAGAAGGATTTGGGCAAGCACAGAAATTAACTTGACGAGGGTTGACATAGGCTCCAAGCCTTTTATCACCAACCACTAGATCCGAAATCTGAAAATCTGACGAAATCATTCTCTTCTGGAAGTTACATTCTAAGAGACTATCATCAAAATTTCAAAAGTCATAGTTAAATAGGCTTCGGATTTGACCCTACTGACTAACTGCAACTGGTGTTAGGGCTACTTCGGGGAGCATCAAAAACAAAAACAATAGATCATGTATAAACATGTGTTTATATACTCAGGATTATCACAGCTTCTTCGCACACTCTGTTAACCCTCAAGACTAAACTCTGAATCACTCTGTTTCTCCAAGCTGAAACCACAGATCGCACACTTTCTGTATATTCAGAAATATGAGGTCAAGCAAAAAAATACCATCACACTTAAAGTTGACGTGAACTTAATTTCCTAGCATCCTTGTTTTAGGAAGCTAAAGCAATTTATCTTGACAGTGGAAAATTCAGTCTTTCAAGGTCGCTCGCACGAGTTGCATGAATTTCGAGTTGTAGTTGGTATCTGAGTCTGCTCAAGATTAATAATTTTAAGAGATAATATCTTGCTTTGTAAAGAGGCTTTATTGTGATCACTTATTCAACGCTTCTTTTGACACATATTTACAATAAACGGCATGTTTGTTCAGAAATATGGTCAAAAAGACTAAAAAACAGAAGCTCAGCTTCCCTGAAGTCCAAGGATGGGTGCCATACAAGGCATTTTCTAAGAAAAGTAGATTTTTATTCACAGTATACTTTCCTTGTTAGAACTCGAAGTAGAAAGTACGGAATCTCAGTACGCAGAAGCTCCAAAGGACTGGAAAGAACCAAAATTCAATCCTGAAGATAATCCACATGGCAGACTCTTCGCCTCATCGTCATATGTTACTTTATTTCCAAAGTATCGTGAAAAGTATTTGATTGAAATTTGGCCTGCATTAAAAAGGATAATGATGGAACATGTAAGTTTCATTAGTCTGAAGAGCGTGAAGCAGTGAAAGCTGTCAATGGCGGTTACTCTTATAATACGTATGCGACTTATAGGTATAAAAATAACTTTATGATGAAATCAAGGCATTTAAGGGAGATACTTAGGATCTTCGTCCGTAATATACTTAAGAGTTTGGGAATGACTTACTTTGATATCGAAGAAGTGTTATTCAAATCGATTCAATCGATTGATAAAATATCCAGGTAGTAAATTCAAATTATTGTGCATATCGTTTTAGGTGTACGTCATTGTGTTTGTGACCTGTTTACTCTTACGTGCCATTTATTTATGGTGTTCATGTGTAGATCATAGGAAACTAGACTGTTTTATGTCGGTAAAAATGTTTAGTCATTTGTATTGGTAATAATGCTACTAGGTGAATTTTAATTGTTATGTCTTTATAGCGAGAGAATTGAGTTCTATTCCTATTGCCTACTGAACTGAAAACATATATGGTATTGGTTAGTGTTTTTCTTACAATTCTTTTTTATTGTATCAACAGAAAGATCAAGTTAGGGACCTATTAGCTTTAAGTTGAATGCTAAAGCCGCTGAACTACATCTGCGTTATAAATAAGTTACTTTGCTTTGAAATCGAAGTTGTTACAGTTAGCATACTAGCTTGTGTGAGATATATATGTTTCGGATACCATGGATCTACCGAAATTATAGCGGTTACGGAAATATAACAAATAGTTCACTACCAACTATCATTCATAACGGTAAAAACTAGTGTTCAGGATGGGATGCATTTCATAATGACAATGATATGTTAATCTATTCATGATCAGCTGGATGAATTCGATGTGTGCAGATGCAGAGAATCCAACGAAACAAATGTCTTCTTTCTCTGCACGGACATTCATTTTTTGTGCTTTACTTGGATCTTGATTTGGATGGGATCTCTGAGTTGGGTTGTTCAGTTGGATCCCTATCAACTCCGAGTTCAAGAACATAAACTAGCAGTTGGAAGATAAGACATGTATTCTTTCATATAGATGTATGTAGGCAGTTGTGGACACCAATTGAACCGGTGAAATGTAGAATTTTTAAACGATGGAAACATCAAAAGTACAAGGAAATTCTTAGGAGCCTGGTGCATCAATGAATCGGCGACTAACAGCTACTTTATTGTAGATCAAATATATTAACTAGTAAAGATTGAATCGCATGACAAAACAGTTGAATTTCAGGTCAGCTTAAATAATCAGTAGTAATGCAAATTAACAAACATTCGCGATAAAGGTTGTCAGGTTATACAGTTGTGTTGTTCACGGAGGATTTGAAGCTTGAACTGAAGTGATGTCTAAAATGGCAATAAAAGCCATTCAGATGAATCACGTAGCTCAGCGAACTCAACCACATTGAAAATGCATATTAGCTGCCGCTATTTCCTTGATTTTTTTTTTACAACGTAACAGTAACAGAAGAAAGTAGAAGTTAACACGGATATAAGGCAAAAGGAACGAAGAACAGTATAGTTTCATTGGGTATTATAAGTCACAAGGAATGAATGCATCTGCGTTATTCATTGAGAACGATTTTGAGCCATATCACCGATTGTCTCCAGCCATTGGTTTCCACCGTCCGGATGACCCCAAATAGACAGCAGTCTACACCTTCCTATGTTGCTGGCTTAAACTGTTGTGGATTTCAATGACTGATAAGGTCATGTTTTTGTTTGATCACCACTGGCTCTTTTCCAACTTAACCTTATGTCAACTAACATTTCTCGTCAAGGGAGGCAATGGCTAGGCATGCCTACTCAACACATGTCCTGACCATCTCACGCGATGTATCTTTACAGCCTCGTCAATTGATTTCCCCTCCTTACCTAGCACTCATAGTAGGTACTGTGTACAAAACATGCCTGACTTATTTTACTGTAGCTAAGCTTCACATCAAGTGTGATTCGTAGTATGTATTGAACTGGATTTATTTTTCTTTCATTTATAGCATCAGCAGTGTTTGTCCTATGCGATTGTAGATAGGTTTTAAGAGAGTTTTCAAGTCGGGTCAATGTTACATTTGCTGCTGTTCTAATAGACACTCTCTCAGGCCACCTTAAATAAGTTGACTACTATTTTTACGGTATATAGTCTTCCAAAGTTTTTATAGTTGGCGGTTTTTGTCAACTGAGAATTAGTGGTGTGTTGTCTATTCTTATAACTTTCTGAATAACTTTGAATAAGCTGAAGTTTTTGTTTTCTTTTTCGAATTTAATTTTTTCTTCTTTTCAAACTAGCATATTCGCGTAGAGTTGAATGTGGCAGAGAGTACAATGGAGGTTCGAACAACACCTAAAACATTCGATCCATTTATTATCCTAAAAGCACGTGATGTTACACGTTTATTGGCTCGTTCTGTTCCAATGGAACAGGCTATACGTGTTTTAGATGATGAATTTTTTGCAGATATCATCGAAATTAATTTAAATAATCGTGAAAGATTTGTTAAACGACGCAATCGACTTATTGGTCATGATGGTGAAACATTAAAAGCTTTGGAATTATCTACTAACTGTTATATAGTTATACAAGGAAAAACTGTAGCTGTTGTTGGCCGGTACAATGATTTAAAAGAAGTAGGTTTGATTGTTTCTATCAGATAGTTTGTAGCATTACTGTAGTGTTATTATTTATCGATTTAATTTGTGCATGTCTCCTCAATCCCTTTAGGTGGTATCGCTAGGTCTGTAAAACTTATTGATTGACTGACCGGTTTCAACGTAGGACTTCACACAGATGTGCACCAGTTCGAGTCTTCAGACTTCACGTAGCACACAAAGCAACAGAAGAAAGTAATAAGAAATCCAAAATAGAGACAGTAGACAGGGATGTGAGACAAAAGGAATAGTAATAACAAAGAACAAAACAGTTTCATTGAAAATTATAAGTCACAAGGAGTGGATGCATCTGCGCTAGCCATTGAGAACGATTTTGAGCCACATCACCACCAATTGTCTTCAGCCTTCATTGGTTTTTATCGTCCCGAGGAACCCAACCAGACAGTCAGCCAGTCTACACCTTCCTACGTGGCTGGCTTAAACTCACTGTTGTAGATTTCATTGACTGATGACGGAGCCACGTTTTGGTTTGACCACAACTAGCCTTCACTTTTCCAACCTGATCCATCCTTTGTCAGTCAGGAAACATTGCCCGACGGTCAAGGAAGGCGATGGTTAGGAATCCCTACGTGACACATGTCCTAACCATCTCAATCGATGCATCTACTTCACAACGTTGTCAACTGATTTCCCCTCCTTACCTAACACTCGACCCCGAACCTCAATATGACACAAGGTATTATGTCATTTGGCACGGGAGATAGAATGCAGACACAAAATGATCAAAGACAGCTCACTAGACAAGCTTTTCATATCTTTCACTTTCAGTGGCTATTTCCAACTTACACAGATGATAAGGGAGGACAGGGCAAACTGCTGAGCAGTACGCACACTCTCTGAACTTTTTTCTATTATTTTTACCTAAACCCGAACTTATCCCATATCATTTATTAGTTGGATTAATTTATTATTTATTTTATTTTTTTTATTTTGGATTACAGCTTGATTCCACACTGTATTTTTGGTACAAGTATGGAATTTTCAGCGTGGATATCGGTAGCCCAAAATTTGCAGGCCGACCATAGATATCAGGTGTGCGTCGGCGAGGGCTCGAACCCTGGACCATGTGCATGGTCGGCGAGACGGTGTCGCTGTCACTCTGCTTCTGTGGCTGAGAGATGAGTTACCTACCTACGTCATTCAAATGACTTCTACTTGAATTTGTTAGGAAAATCATGACATGGCACCATAGGGCAAAAGGAGGTAGTTGTGTTCACTTAGCATCCTTGAAAGGGTATATGAGGGAGGGGTCATGTGACTCAGTGATTCAAGATATAGCTCAGAGTCGAAATAAGTCTTTTCGTTATTTAGTAGGTTGGTGTTTCAGGAGAAAATTATGGATTGTTTATTATTATTATTTCCTTTAATTCCTAGAGGAACATAGGGCTTCAACTGCACGTCTCCATTGCGTTCGGTTCACTGCTAAAGTTTTCACCTGGTCTGCCCATATGCTTTCATCTCCTCTTCACATGACCTCCTCCATGTCACCCTCACACTGACGACCAACTCGCCGCCTCCCTTTCGGGTTCCACTCGAGGGCTTGTCTAGTGATGTCACTTAATAGTTTCCTCAGAGTATGGCCAATCCACCTACATTTCTTCCTGCCTATTTGTTGCACAATCGGTTCCCGTTGGGTTGGTTCACTCATTTCCAGAGATCCCTGTTTCTGATCTTTTCTAGCCGGCCATTTGATCTTGAGTAGTATTGAACGAAGACAACTGTTAATGAAGGTCTGTAGTTTGTTTAAGGTGCTCTTTATGACGCGCTGGTCAAGTCTCTGATCCGTGTAGTAGTACTGACTGGCTTTACATTGGAGTTGAAAATCTGGATCTTATCTTCATTTTCAAGCTGAGTGCTGTTGACCTTCACACAGACTTGAGAGTAGTGAAATCTTGTCTTGCTTTCCCTATCCTTGCTTTGATATCCTCATCAATTCCGTCCGCCTGTAGTTGAAAGTATGCTTCCCAAGTAGGTAGGTAAAGGAGGTTGCTTCTTTCAGGTTCCTCCCATTTATGCTGGCTGATTGTTGTCTGTTGTTGTTGCTGTTGGCCAGGAATTTTCATCACCTTTGTTTTCTCTATGTTCACCTGAAGTCCAATCTTTGATGCTTTTTCTATCGCCAACTTGTTTCCTCTTCACTTGCATATCTTTCAGTTTGTGGGAAATCAGGCATATATCATCGGCGAAGTCCACATAATCCAAGTTTTCCTTGAGGGTCCATTTTATGCCTGTTTATTCAAAATCTGTTGCATGCAAGTGTACTTAGATGACTGTTTTTGTTTGTTGTAACGTATTATTTCCTTTTTCCCGCCCTTGTTTTCCTTAACAGGTACGTAGAATTGTACAAGGATGTATTTATGATAATACCCATCCTGCTTATTCTATTAAACGATTACTTATTATAAAAAAGTTATCTATGGATCCGACAAAACACGATATATCATGGGATCGTTTTCTGCCTAAAATGAAAAAGAAAGTACTTAGTCGTCGAAGAAAACCTCATAAGGTAAGTTGGTCGCTCCTCTCACACTAAGAGTAAATTTTTTTTTGTGTGTGTGTGTGTGCAGACAACATGATTTATACACTTTTAAATAATTCAATAATTTCCAAGAGTTTGTTCGTGGGTGTTAAGTTTGTTTTAAGATTTTGATCACGGATTGATAGAAAAGCAGAGAGTACTGGACAGCCAGTTGTTTGGTCGGCCTTAGTTTGGTGGTCATCATCAGTAGGCACCTGCCGCTAGGGTTTCAAGCCAGGATCTTCGGGGTACAAGGTGATCATCTTGTTGACCATTAAGCCACTAAGACCCAATCTAATGGCCCATGGATTCCAACTTCTGCCAATTCATGACATATCGCGACCACTTCGCAATGCCTTCTTCGATGAGTTACTGCCTCGCCTGCCCCAACATGATGTCCCCTATCATTTACGGCTTCCCACTAGAACCCTAGGTAACTGCCTGAATTAGGGCCAGTCACTAGTGAGTATCAGAAGTTGGAATTCATAGACCGTCGGATCGCGTCCCAGTGACCTAATGGTCTACGAGCTCGCCTTGTAACCAAAAGGTTCTGGGTTCGAACCCCTATGGATGCGTACTGATGAAGAGTCCCAAACTAGGACGAGACAGCTGTCCAGTACTCCCAGGTTTTGTGATGGTTCTCTAACTGATATTAACTCATGATGAAATCCTCCAACCATTATATATATATATTCCATAGGATATATAGACCTTAGAAAGAGACTAGAAGTTAGTAGAAGTTGAGAGGATTAATGTGCAATTTACATTGCTCCACGAAGGCAGGTAAAATGGTAGATGTACATGGGGTTGGTCAAATGGTGGGGGGGGGGCGGGCTGTCTTTCATGCAAATGGAGAGCAACTTCCGGCTGGTGAAGTTCAATTGGAGTTTCGCTTGAAAGAATATTATGCTGACTGATTTTTGAAGCCTGATCACCTTTGAATTCCAGACTCATGATAATAGTACTAAACTAGTTACTAACTCAGTTCCGAAAAAAACTATTTCCATTTAGTTGCACTCCTCAAGTCTTATGCAATAAATTTAAGAAACAACTTCAGTGGAACTGTGCTATCTGAATTTAGCAAATGCTCAAGAACTGAACTAGTAGTCGACTTCCATTGACCTCTTGATAGCCACATCGAATAGTGTTCTGAAATGCATTTTTGCGACGAAATATATAACTAACTTCACAGGAGCAAGTGAATTTATAAATATATAATAAAGAAGTGACCTAAAGCTGACGTTTGCCCTTCTCAAATCCGTTCAAAATCATTTACCAAAAGAAGTGCCTTTCTCAACGATCTAGAAAGGTGGTTCATCAGAATCTCAACCGTTGCAGTATCCTCCAGTTTTTTTCAAAATGTTTTATTCCTTTACATTCCCAGTGGAACATAGGGCTAGGGTGGGGTTGCTAGTCTCACACCCAACCTTCTCTCTTTGCCGGACATGTTACCCAGCTAAATAAGGTTTGGGAGTGCGCCGACTGAGTGTCGAATCCCGGACCAAGTGCGGAGTAGCTGGTGAGCAATCCACCTCTGCGCCACTTACGCATCCTCCTTTAAATTAAACATTTATTAGCAGTACTTTCTTCGAAGCTGTGTGCAGATCCTTCTAGGTCATTGGTTTACTGCCATGCTTTTGTTGAAGAATCTTCCAGGGTATCCATTTTGAATGAGTCTCCCTCAGTTCATCGTCAGTTGTATCACTCCTGTAGATTCTTTCAGAAAAAAAATGGATCAATGGGTATCCGAGGGGGACAAACCTTAGCTTTCTTTATTTGTTATAAGAACACAAACTTGATCCATCGTAGTTGCCAAGAGATGCACCAAACAAAATCTCATAATTTGTGTACTAGGCTTTAAAATCAGGGTTTTCCACCTCTTCTATGTAGAGCAGCATGTCCGCCTGTCTCCTTGTAAGCGCCGGAAGTTCGCTTTTTCACCCTTTGACTCTTGTGGGGAACACTACCTCCGCCTCGCGAAAGCAATGAATAGAACTTACCTGGCAGGACCTGTGAACGTGTGTGGTTATATGGGGCATTTCAAGGGGAAGCCTAAATGAAGTCTACCCACCCTCGGGTGTACTAAGACGTATGTAGGGGTCCTCTGTGTAGCTTTGAGCCATCACTACATCTATAAATTCACTTGCTTCTGTAGAGCTACTTTTATATTGGCTGCACATAGTGCACACTTTTCAATCGCATTTCAGAGCACTATCCGGAAGGGTTTCTCAAGAGGATTTTGCAAGACAATTACTATTTTTTATGCACTACTTTCAATTAACCTTATTCAGAGATGTATCAAAGATTTTGTCACAGAAATATTTACGGATAAGGGAAGATAGTTGAATTATTCTTGAATTCAAATTCATCCTATTTTTGACTTGATGTGCGTGTATGGAGGAGTGTGCTTTGTTGACTCAGATGTGACAGAACGTTCGATAGCAGCCATGTAGGATATCTAGATTCCATTCCCAGTCATCACGCGCCCCCCCCCCAAATAAACTTTTCTCCGATAGTAAGACTCCCCTGGAAAAGATGGAAAGTTACGCGTAAGTAAGACTACAGCGACTCCTAGTTTAAAAATAGGAAGTGAAGTGGTAGAGCACGTCGACCGCTTCACTTATTTGGAAGTACCATCAGCCAGTGCCAACGGGTTGATCTCTGATGAAATGGCGGCACGGATACAGGGGGCTTGTTTCGCATTTGCCAGTTTACGCTGTCTCTGGCGTAGACGAGATATTCGACTATCTACCAAAGGGCGGGTGTACTGCTCATCAGTCCGCTCCGTCCTCCTCTATGGCTGTAGACCTGGCCATTAAGAGTGGAAGACATGAAAAGATTAGCTAGCTGTCTTTTATCATAAGTGCCTGGGTTCTATCTCCCGTGTGAAGTGGTATAATATGGTGAGCAATATTAAGGTTAGGCGTCGAGGTCTAGGTAAACAGGGGAAATCAATCGACGAGGCTGTGAAGTTACTAAGACTAAGATGGTTAGGACATGTGTTACGTATTCCTAGTCATCGCCTTCCTCGACGAACAATGTTAGCGGATATAGGGTCAGGCTGGAAAAAAGCTAGCGGCGGTCAAACAAAAACTTGACATCAGTCAATGAAATCTAAAACAGTTAGTTTAAACCAGCCACGTAGGAAGGTGTAGACTTCCAGGCTGGGGTCCTCGGGACGGTAAAAAACTAATGGTTGGAAACAACTGGTGACATGGCTCAAAATCGTTCTCAATGGCTGACTGACGCAGATGCATCCACTCCTTGTGACTTATGATTTCCAATGAAACTGTATTGTTCTTCGTTAATACTCTTCCTTTGTCTCACACCTCTGCTTACTGTCTCTATTATGCTTTTCTTGTACTTTCTTCTCTTTCTTTGTGTGCTGCATGTCGGGAGTGTGGCGACTTGAACTTCCGCACATGTGTGCCAAGTTCTATGTCGAAAACAGACAGACAGAAGACTTACAACTCTAACTCGTAATAACCTTAGAGCTTGAAGTCGTATTGTTCCACTTGGAACGTGCAGGGAATGAAAAAAGATGTGTTTGTGTGTGTGTGTGTGTGTAGAGTAATCATCATTTCAGCTCTCTTATTTTCTCCCCCCTCTCTATCCCATTCCAATTTATTTCCTTTTCAGGTACGTAAAAAGAAGGAGTACAATCCATTCCCTCCGCCACCAGTTCAATCGAAAATTGATATTGAACTTGAAAAAGGTACCTACTTTTTAGCTGAAAGTGAACGTAAACGACTTAAAATGGAATCGGTTATAACAAAATCGAATAAAATTTCTAAAGAACGTCAAAAAGCTAAACGTGCAGCTGTACTTATCCCTCCAGAAGAAAGAAATAACAATAATAATACAGATGGTGGTGGCAATGAATCGAAAAGGATGAAATTAGAGGCTATTTAATAACACTTATTCTGATGCTGTTCATGTATATATATCATATTAAATACATTAGTTATTCTGTGGATCTTTACTTTTTATTGTGTTTTCTGCAATAGTAATTGTTAAGTTAGACTTAGTCAACCAGAATAGACAGCGTTAGAAAGGCGAAACAAAAATTATGCTTTCGATAGTCGCGTTTTTTTTGTCTTGAACTTGTTCAGTGGTTTGTTTGTAGAGTCTTCTGAACACGTTGAGTTGCAATCTGCGAATGTTTGGCATGTGATTCGCTCCCGCCCCTGACTGACTGGATTGGACTACATTGACACTGCTAGCTTAGAGATAGGAAGTGAAGTAGTTAGTGTTGTCCAAAGGTCGTGTGTCCGCACTATCCTCCTTTATGGCTGTGAGTGAGACGTGGCCATTGAGAGAGTGCCAGCTACCTGTCTTTGATCATAGGTGCCTGCGTTCTATTTCCCGTGTGAAATGGTATAATAGGGTGAGCAATACTGAGGTTAGGCGTCGGTCGAGTGCTAGATGAGGAGGGGAAATCAATAGATGAGACTGTGAAGCTACATCGACTGAGATGGTCAGGACATGTGTTATGTTGGGATTCCTAGCTATCGCCTTCCTTGACCGACGAGCAATGTCGCCTGACTGACAAAGGATGGATTAGGTTGGAAAAGTGAAGGCTAGTTATGGTCAGACCAAAACATGGCTCCGTCATCAGTCAATGAAATCCACAACAGTGAGTTTAAGCCGGTCACGTAGGAAGGTATAGACTTCCTGACTGGTTGGTGTCCTCGGGACAGTAAACACTGATGGCTGGAGACGATTTGTGATATGGCTCAAAAACGTTCTCAATGGCTAACCCAGATCCATCCACTCTTTGTGACTTAAAATATACAATGAAACTATATTGTTCTTCGATATTACTATTCTTCTTGCCTCATATCTCTGTTTACTGTCACTAGTTTGCATTGCCTCCAAAGCCTCAGGATGGTCGGGGGTGGGTGCCTTGCGCTGTGGGTTGGCCACCCCTCCGTACACCTCTTGAAATGCTCCCATATGACCGGGCGTCTTACATAGCCTCTCCTGAGGAAGTCCTACTCACTGCCTTCACGTGGCGGAGGTGTTTTTCACCGAAGTGAGAGGGCAAAAGCGGATGACCGGCGCTCTTCACCGGGTTGACTGTCCATTGGATGACAGTCTAGGGGAGATGGCTAAACCCTGATTCCAAACCTCCAACGACTGGCGTATGAAGCTCACCGGCAGACGTATGGACAGAGGGCTTATTGGATGCCCTGGATGTCTGGCCCCATTCAAAAAGGCGTATGAACCGGACTCCCGTCACCGGCTCCCAATGGATAGTGGACTCCCTACTCCACTCCTACTGCCTTGTAAGTCACACTTGGTTGTGTAAAGGCTAGAGCTGCACTCTCAAACAAAAGGTTGAGCGATTCTGGAGACATCACTCGTACCTAATTCCCATGGAACTTCATGAACTCTGTTCATGAAGCCGGCTCATCCTCCCGTAGGAGATAGCCGAAGTAAAGTAAAGTAAGTACTAGTTTGCATTTCTGTTTACTTTCTTCCCTTTCTTTGTGTGCTACATGGAGTTCGGCGACTCTAACTGGTGCACATCTGCGCAAAGTTCTATGTTGAAACCAGTCAGTCAGTGGTTTGTTTAAAACTATACAGACATAGAGATAGAAGGGTGTTGTTGTGACAGTATTCAGCCTTAAAGGGGAATGCTTGAGAAAGGCATTCTACTTGAACTTACACAGGTGTGTCAAATCGTATGGAAACAGTTGTCATCTGAAGTGACTACAACCAAGGATGCCCAATGTTTCCATTTTATTTAAAATTTCATCTTAGATTTACTAATGGAATTGACCTTAAAACTGATTTTAGCGACTTAAGAGTTGACTTGTTAACAGTTATATCGACTTCAAGTATACGGATAATGTTGTCCGCCTAGGTGAAGAGTTTTTTTGAACACTTTGAACTGTTGTCTTTGAATATTTGGTATGCTATTCGTTGTTATCGAATGTAAGGTGATGCTGCAGGACTGAAATGCACTGACTTCTAGCTTAAGTGAAATGTTTGAGCATGTTAACCACTTCACTTATTTAGAAAGTTCCATCAACTCCAGTTGACTGATACCTGACGAAATCTCAGCGTGGTTACAATGGGCTAGTGTGGGATTAACCAACCTACGTTATCTCTGGCGAAGATTTGAAGTTCAACTATCGATCAAAGGACGTGTTGTACTTCTCACCAGTTCGCTCCATCCTCCTTTATGGCTGTGAGTGAAACATGGCCATTGGAGGTGAAAAATATAAAAAAGGCCTGGCTAGCTGTCATTGATCATAGGTGTCTGCATTCCATCTCCGGTGCTAAGTGGTATAATATAATGAGTAATATCGGGGCTAGGCGTAGAGTGTTAGGCAGAGATGTGAAGTCAGTTGGTGAGGTTGTGAAACCGTATCGTTGTACGCATGCCGAGGTATCGGTTTTCTCGACGAGCTGTGTTAGCTGACATACGATTGCGTTGGAGAAGAATGATGCGGATGGGGGCGGGGGTTGGTCTGCCGCTCCAAAACATGGCGTCGGCTGATGGATGAAGTCTTCAACTCTTCTTTTGAGCCACTGAAAGTGCCTAGTTGAGGGGTGTGGGTCACTGATACGCTAAGAATAATTGATAGCTTAAGACTTTTGATGATATAGTTCGAAGTAAATAGCTCACATGGGTTCACTCTTTGCGATCTCCATATTTCTACATTGAAAGTTCAGTTCACGAATGACCTCTCCGAGGGTCGAACTTATGACTGTGGACTTTGTTTTGGTGACAAACAGACAATATCGTCTTCATGTCCGATAGCACACAAGCTGCCCAAATCACACTTAATCAGTTGGCGATCATTGTCTGCATGGTATGTACTTTGCGCCGTCTAAGTGCAAAGTACTGTTATAAGATTGACAGCAGCTTGTACCTGCACTCACTCTTGTGGGTGAATCGCTTGAAATTGTCGATTAGTTCGTGTATCTGGGTATTTGTGTGAGTGCTGGCGCAGGAGTGACGGGTGAGATTTCCAACTGTATCATGAAAGCTAGGGTGGCTATACGTCAACTTGAACTACCTCTAGAATTGTCGCAACATTAGCATGGCTGTCAAAGGTCGGGTTTACAATACTTCAGTGTGTGCTGTCTCGTTCTACACCTGTGAAACCTGGCCTCTCCGAGCTGAGTATGTGCGGCGACTCTGTGTGTTCGATCATCGCTGTCTCTTCTGGATTGCTTACGTTCGATGGCATCATCGCGTGAGTAATTCTGAGGTTCGGCGGCGTGTGTTTGAACACAGTGGAGATCACTATTTCTTGGGTGTCGTCATCTGGAGACACCGGCTTCGGTGGCTTAGGCATATGCTGCGAATGTCATACAAGAGGCTTCCTTACAGGTCTCTGTTCGCTAGCCCTGGGACGGGATGGAAAAGGCGGAGGGGTGGTCAGTCCCCATGTTGTGGCGTCGTGGGATGAAGGATATTTGTGTTAGGTTAGCATCGGTTGGTGAGTCACGACTCCCTGGTTGGGGTCCGCGAGATAGCTCGAAACGTTATCGGATGTAGCCAAGAATCGTAATCAATGGCGAACATGTTGCAATTTCCTTTTTTCTTCCCTTCACGATGATAGTTAACGAACACTGTTTGAACTTGTTAAGCATGACTGTTTTCCTTCCAGATGAAGTTCTTTATCCGTTCTCTACTTATATTTTCTTTTTACTTTTAATCTATGTTGTTTAATTATTATTGTGTGGCGCATCTTCTTGGTGCCATATTGTATCAAGGTTTTCTGCATTTAAATAAACAATTATAATATAATATGGTGACGAAAGTGTTATTTATTTATTTATTTATTTAAACGCATAAAAAAAACTTGGCACAATATGGCACCAAGAAAGATGAGCCACACAATAATAATAAAACAACATAGATCAAAAAAAGGGAAGGAAGGAAAAGAAAAAATATATATAAGTAGAGAACGGATAAAGAACTTCATCTGGAAGGAAAACAGTCATGCTTAACAAGTTCAAACAGTATTCGTCAACTATCATCGGGAAGGGAAGAAAGAAGGAAACTGCAACACGGTCGCCACTGATTACGATTCTTTGCCATATCCGATAACGTTTCGAGCCATCGATTTGAGCTATCTCTCGGACCCCAACCAGGGAGTCGTGACACACCAACCGATGCTAATCTAGCACAAAAATCCTTCATCCCACGACGCCACGTCATGAGCTGACCACCCCTCCGCCTTTTCCATCCCGTCCCAGGGCTGGCTGGCGAACAGAGACCTGTACGGAAGCCTCTTGTATGACATTCGCAGTACATGTCCAAGCCACCGGAGCCGGTGTTTCCAGATGACGACATTCAATGAATGGTGATCTCCACTGTGTTCAAACACACGCCGCCGAACCTCAGAATTACTCATGCGATGATGCCATCGAACGCAAGCAATCCTGCGGAGACAGCGGTGATCGAACACGCAGAGTCGCCGCACATCCTCAGCTCGGAGAGGCCAGGTTTCACAGGCGTAGAGCAGCGCAGCCCGCACCGAAGCATTGTATACCCGACCTTTGACAGCCAGGCCAACGTCGCGACGGCGCCAGAGGTGGCTCAAGTTGATGTATGCCACCCTAGCCTTCATTATACGGTTGGAAAGTTTATCTATTCACTACAAGCGCAAAAGCACTTTACTTTCGTTCCTATTACTCTAATGTTCTCAATACCTGTTCGTTCGATACATACATCATAATCACCGATAACCTGTAGATGTATAGAAAATATTAAAATGGGCTATTAGAGTACTGGCGTAATGGTGTCTTCACAGACGTTCGAATCAACTAGGAAAAGAACAAAAAGAGACAGAAGTAATGTAATCATTGTTTCTAGAATGCAGTCAGAGTAAATTGAGCATAGACACGACAAAGGTGACTGACTATTAGGACCCATCGACCAAGAGCAG